CCAGGGCAATGACATGGCCGCTGACATGATCTAAAAGCGCGCGCGATCATGAAATGGGTCGGCGTGTTGGGCGCACTGCCGACCCAAATCTAAAAGAGGGCGGACGCCGGGCGGGCGACCGACCCAAACGGAAAAAAAGCGGACAAAAGCACCGTCCGTTTGGGTTGGCTCGTTGGAGTTGCTCTAAGAGACCTTTTAGAGATTCTATTATAGACTACATACGGAGTAAAATGAGTAAATCTACACTTTAAAATATGTTTATATACATTTGTATGTAGTCTGTATTGAAATCTTTAAAATGCCTTATATTTAGAAACGGAGGGGGTAGCTTTCTTCATTCGGTATTCCGTCAAGAGAAAGTTGAAAAGGGTGAAATTTTGTCCTTCTATTCTAATCTAGATTTTTTCATGGTATTACGTGTCTCGTCAATACCATAGTACAAATCAGGTAGACACTGACATGCCAAAACCGAAAAGATAGAAGTCTTTGCACAAAGGACCACCAACCAACGAGAAAAAATACAATCAAAACCGAAGAATCCCCTGAGCTTGTAAACAACCTGCCTCCGGCACCACCACAGTAGCCACCAAAGGAAAACTATAATGGATCACCTCCTTACCCGAGCTTGACGCGGCTCCATCGTTGATATGCAGCTTTGCAGACCTCCAAGGTGGCTCACCAAAGACGAAACAATTGCCGTTGAACGCATCAGATCAGGGAAACACACTAGGCATGCCATCGAACTCTAGATCTTGCACCCCCAGAATCAAACCATACTCGCCAACTGCCAACCACAATCCTAGCACATGATCTGCTGTCTTCCAGATGCCGCCAACGCATACCACAATTTGCATCCACTCTTGGAGTACCTCCCAAACTCCGCGTTAGCGCTGGAGTAGACACAGTTAGGACACAAGTCCACCACAAGGATGCCGCCATCGCCACGGCATCCCCGCTTGAAGAGACTAGTTTCCAAATCCATCACCAACCATAGAGACAATCACCTTGTCAGGGAAGGATCCGAAACTTCTTTATTCAGCGTTCCGCCAAGACGTCGAACAACCCAAAACCTAAGCTACTAGGGCCCTAAAACCTAAAGCTAATACGATCCACACATGCGGTATCCGACAACCCCCTCACCACCAAGGACCGAGAGGTCGTCGATGGAGGGGAACCGCCGGAAGACGCCCGGAAGGCTTGGCTCTGTTGGCAGCGGCTAGGGTTTCTAGTCGCTCGTCCCTAGAGGGAAAAACGATTCGAAAGAGGGTCTTTCTAATCGAGATTCCCGGCTAGCTCTAATGGATCGTGTGTTGATTTGTGGGTATTTTTCCAACAACAAGTCATATATACCCGCAAACAAACATATGATGTATAACTAGTCTAATACATAGTATTTAGGGTAGTGTACCGATCTAATCAATTATAATGACCTCTTAAGATTTTGTGAATCAAACATTTCTAAGTTTGTTTATATATAGAAGAATTACTAGCATTGAAAACATTAGAAACTATTTATATAGAAGAATTACTAGAAAGTATGAAATACCATGTTTGCATAGAAAATAATGGCAAAGTATACCATCTTAAAAACTATATCACAAAGACAATTTGTCATGCATTTGCCTGATCCAAAGTGATATATTACGTTGTTCCTCTCCTAACATTTGGGGTGACCAAACGTTTCAGATGACTATGGACATCAACCTATATATAAACGAC